CACCTCTCTCTCTCTCCCTTCTCCTAATCTAATATCATTTCGCGTCCAGTGTGATTTGGTCTTTTTTTTCCCCCATAACATATGTATAAGGGTAGGCTATCTCGGTAGATTTTGTTTCTTGTGTGGTAGTCTCATACCTTCCCCACTTTTCCTCTCTCTTTCCATTTTCTTACACCATTCCTCCCATCTCCCCTTCGCTCTTCTTCCTCTCTCTCCCTCCTTCCTTCCTCCCTGCATTGCGTCCTTTCTTCTCACTCCCTTTCCCCTATCTTTTCCTCTTCCCCCTCACGTCTTGCTTCCCCTTCCCCCTCCCCCCTCCTTCCTTACTTCCTCCTTCCTCTCTCTTCTACCATCCTCTCTCCCTGCTTCCCTCTGGCCTCCCTCCCTCCCTCTGGCCTCACTAACTCTGGCCTCACTCCTTCTTTGCCTCCCTTCTCCCTCCCTCCCTCCCTCCTGTTCTTTGTTAGGCCTACCTGAAAGGAATGGACAGTATTGGAGAAAAGAGGAAAAGAGAGAGGGGAAAAAAGTGCGTGTAGCACAATAGACACACGGGGGCTGCTGTACGTCTTTGTGGGGCGTATAGACAGCGTTCACTGTACTTGCATTGTCGCGAGATGAGACTTGGTTTAGGGGCGGCGTCTCCCGTTTGATATTTATTTTTCTTTGTCTTGTTTTTTAAAATTTGCCTTTGTTAGTTATTGTTTTTGTAGTTGGTAATATGTTTTCCGTTTGATGTTTATTTTTTTTTCATTTTGCTTCTATTTTTTGTTGTTGGTAATGTCTTGCGTGAAAGTATTTGGTGGGTATTTTTATTTTCATTTTTTTTGTTTGTTTGTTTTGCTTGTTTGTTTACATTCTTATAGAGCCATGATTTGAGTGGGGTTTGGGTGCGTTGGGTTGGTGTACTACTTTTAAAGGCGGGGGGGGGGGGGGGGGGGTCGACGTCGAACTCCATCTGTTGAAGGGGATCGCGGACGCACGCCGGATTCTTTCCAGGAAGGAGAAAGGCAATATACAGTGTTTGTCCAGGTTTATGAAAGTTCGAGAAATCGTCTTCAAAACAGCTCTTACTGTAATAAGTTCTCGACAATAACTGTTGTTATTATTACTATTATTGTTGTTGTTGTTGTTTTTGTTTTGGCATTGTCATTGCCACTCCTTAATTATTTTATGCCGTTTTTATTTTTATTCAAAATATCATTTTTAATGTTACTAGGTCGTCATATTGCAAATAATCATTCTTTATATTACTTCATATTTTTCTCCTTCCTTTCCATTGATGACGCTAAGGTGTTTTTATATTATACGTATAGTTATGAATTGACATTCGATTATATCTGTATTACCATTTATTATTCATGTTAAGATTTGTTATTCTTCGTATTAAGACATATTCTTTACAGTGACGTTTATTATTCTCTATAGAAACATTTATTATTCTTTATATTAAGATGTATTATTCGTCACATTAACATTTATTATCATCTATATAAATGTATTAATCTTTATATGAACCTCTGTTATTATTATTATTTTCAGTGAGTCTTACCAGCCTTTTAATCTCTGTCTCCATGGGGGTCATTTTCTTGCAGGAGAAGCGGAGTTCCGGCCCGATTGAGAAGCCGCGCCTGCTGGCCCCGCGACTAACGCTGCAGAAGTCGGTGTCGACGCCCTCGATCCTGGCGGGCGTCACCACCCAGCCGCAGCAGCAACAACCACAGTAAGTAGCCTTCGTCAGGTAGTTTTCACGTGGCTTGAGTCTTCGGGAGTCTTGGTTGGTCGGTCGGGAGAGAAGTCGGTTTTCTTCTTCGGGTTGGTCGGTTTCGGGTTCGGGGGGGGGGGGGGGGGTCGTGTGTTGTGCCTCGCGGTTTCTGGGTCTTGAGTCTCTTTTAACGCTTTTTTTTTCTTTGGGTGTTCATTTTTGGGTTGTCTGTGTGATCTCTCTTGTCTCTCTGTCAATCTAATTTTCTCTCTTCCTCCTTCCCTCCCTCCCTCCCTCTCTCACTCTCTCACTCTCACATTCGCCCCCCCCCCTACCTTCTCCTTTCCCTATCTCCTTCCCTCCTTCCATATCTCTCTCTTTCCCTTTCCCTCTCCCTCTCCCTCTCCCTCTCCCTCTCCCTCTCCCTCTCCCTCTCCGCTTTCCTTCCCCTTTCTCCTAGGACCACTTTCCTCTCCCCCAGTTTGTTTCTGCCCCTTTCTTTTCCATACGAATGTGTATCACGGAGTCTGTTTTCCCTTCTCACGTCCGTCTCTCGCTGCTTAGGGTTCTTGGAGAAGAGGGTAAAGAAGCTGCCTTCCGTTGCCCTCTGCTTCTTCGATAAAAAAAGCTTGTTCAGTGTCTAAAGTTGATTTTGTTTAGTGTGGTTTGTGCGGATGGTAGAGAGAGAGAGAGAGAGGAAGAGGTTGATTGAGTGAGAAATGGATAGGGAAGAGGGAGAGGGGTAGAATGGGAGAGAAGGGATGGGGAGAGATTGGAACAGGGAGAGAGAAGTCAAGAATTAGAGGGAGGGAGAGAGAAAGGGAATTATAGGGAAAGAGAGAGAGAGAGAATTATAGGGAAAGAGAGAGAGAGAGAATTATAGGGAAAGAGAGAGAGAGAGAGAGAGAGAGAGAGAGAGAGAGAGAGAGAGAATTATAGGGAAAGAGAGAGAGAGAGAGAGAGAGAGAGAGAGAGAGAGAGAGAGAGAGAGAGAGAGAGAGAGAGAGAGAGAGAGAGAGAGAGAGAGAGAGAGAGAGAGAATTAGAGGGAAAGAGAGTGAAAGAGAGAAAAAGAAAGAGAAAGAGAGAGAAAGAGCTAGAAGGAAAAATTGAAATAGGAGAGAGGGAAGTAAATCCTCGGCGACGTCCCCTCATTTCGCGTCGTGCTGGAGGTGGAGGGATTGCATGCAACTCGCCTCGGGAAATTTGCCTTGTCATGTCATAATGCACAGGATTGCATGACCGAATCCCGCGAATCCTCTCAGCGTGTATGCAAGTGTAGCGTGCGTAGCGTGCGTTGCGTGCGCGCTGGAACGATCCGCCGCCAAACTCAAAGAAAATGATATTATCGTTGTGCCGAAAGGGATACAGAGGTGGGGGGTGTTGAGAGGGAGGGAGGGAGGGAAGGAGAGAGGGAGGGAGGGAGGACTGGGGAAGAAGGTGGAAGACAGGAGGAGGAAGGGAGGGGAAAGGGAAGGTGGAAGGAGAGAGGACATTGGGAATGGGGGATAGGGAGGGTGTAGAGAAAGATAGGAAAGGGCGAGAGGGAAACTTAGTGAAGGATGACAGAGATTTGGGGAGACGGAGAGAGGGAAAAAAAGAGAATTGATATGGAGAGAGAATAAAAATGAGGTGCGGAGAGGAGAGAGAGGGGAGGGAAAGAAAAAGACATAGCTGGAGATGGAGAGACATGATAAAGACGATGATATTAGGTGATGATGATATTAAAGATGACCTTAAGAATAATTACATGCTGTTGCTTTGTTATTGTTATTATAGTTATTCTATTGCTTTTATAATAATTATCATTTTATTGTTATTATTATTATTATTATTTATTATTATTATTATTATTATGATTACAGTTATACCTATGCATACTGAAATTAATAAAGACGATTATCTTCATTATTTCTCTTACCGTTATCGCTTTAATCCCCTCAACTTGGGATCCGATTACGCCCAATCGATTGCCAGCGGGTGCCTGCGTCAGTGCCAGTGCCTCCGAGGGTGCCACGAGCTGACGCTGTGCCGGGACTGGCTACCCCGGTGCCCCCTCTGCTAAAGGAGATAGGGTGACCTGCCGTCGAGTCGCGGAGTTCCGGCCTCGTCCATCTTTGAGGGACGGGGTTTGGAGGTCCTTGTTTTTTATTTTATTTATATATTTGTTTACTTATTTATTTATCTATTTATTTATTTGTGTGTGTGTGTGTGTGTTTGTTTGTGTTTTGATGACATTGGCGTTTGGTTTGGTGGTTCGTTGGGCGGGAATTGTGGCCGTGACCACGCGCGGGCTGGTGGCGGCGGCGGGACCTGAAGGCGGTTGTGGGGAAGCATCGTGGTGCTTGTGGGTTCTGTGTGTTTTTTTCCCTGTATCCATCTCTCCTTTCCTCTCTTTTTTCTTTGTGTTCCCCCTTCTCCCCCTCCCCCTCCTCTTCCACTTAATCTTCATTTTCCTCCTCTGTCTTCTTCTCCTCCTTTTATTTCTTCTTATCCTCCTTCTTCCTTTTCTTCTTCTTCTTCTTCTTCTTCTTCTTCTTCTTCTTCTTTTTCTTCCTCTTCTTCTTCTTCCCTTTCTTCTCCCTTTCCCTCTCCTCCCATCCCTTCTCTCACTACCTTCCCCCTTTCCCTCACTATATTCCTTTCTTTCACTCTACTATCAAGATATTTTGACTGCTAGACAAACGGATATAAACAGATTGTGGTGGCTGCGTAGATAGATAAAGAAATAGATAAGTAGGTAGGTAGATAGATAGCTAGATAAATTGACAAATATATAGACAAAAATGTAACTGATAAAACCCTCCCGAGCAAGGAGTTACGAGCCATCCCCGCCCATTTACGTCGTAGTTTACGGTCAGTTTCGCCGGGATCCGACATGTTTCAGACATGATTTGCGCGTGTTTGTCGGCCCTGGATTTATGCTCTGGTGTGAGGGTAGTGAACTAATGATACCTGAAGATTATTAATGGCTATAATCTCCCCCGCTTTGCAAAATATGAGTTTTTTTTTCTCTCTCTCTTTTTTTGAGGTCATTAGAGGCAGCGTCATATTGTAAAGGCTTATTTTGATTTTGATCAATTAATTGGAATTTATTGTGCGGTGACCTTATCGTAATTTGTACGGCGATAGTTGTTCATTTTATTTTATAGTTAGTTTCAATGCAGAAAGAACTAGGATTAGCTACGTGCATCCTTGTGGGAGTGTGTCTATATGTCTACTGTGCATAGATCCCTACCCTCTCTTCTCTTCACATCTCTTCTCTTCTCTTCTCTTCTCATTCGCTCTCTCTGTTTCTCTCTCTCTCTCTCTCTCTCTCTCTCTCTCTCTCTCTCTCTCTCTCTCTCTCTCTCTCTATATATATATATATATATATATATATATATATATATATATATATATTTATATATATATATAAATAAATATATGTATGTATGTATATAAAAAATATATATATATATGTATTTATATATATAAAAAAAATGTATATATATATATATATATATATATATATATATATATATATATATATATATATATATGTATATATATTTATATATATATGTTTGTATATATATATATATATATATATATATATATATATATATATATATATATTTATATATATTATATATATATATTATATATGTTATATATATATATTTATATATAAAACATTTACGTTTGTATTATTTTGCTGATTATGATTACAGTGATAGTTGCCCTGGTTATTGCAAGGCCTCCTTTGAAGTGTTGAATGCATGGCATGACTGCTGCCTCGTTTGCAGTGTCACTCCAGCGAGCAATAAGCGGCAGGTTCGCATTCTGGGATCCAAGCGCGACCTTTTCATATTAGCATTTGCAAGCCGTCTGTCTTGGGGGGAGGGAGGGGGGGGAAGGGAAGGAGGAGAAGAGAAAGAGTGAGAAGAGAAAGGATGGAAAAGAAAGGGAAGAGAAGGGAAGGGAGGAAAGGAAAAGGAAGTGAAGTGAGGGGAAGGAGGAGAAGGGAAGGGAAGGAGAGGAGGGGAAAGGCAAGGGGAGGGAGAGGGAGAAGGAGAGGGCGAAGCATGTGTGGCAGGAGGGGCCTGGAGGCAAGGGACAAGCGGGCAAGGGGAAGTCATGGGGAGGGGGGCACCTTATACTTTTCTCAAGTTGGAATTGTTGCTGGGCAAGAATTTTGTTGTTTTTTCTGCTTCTTGTTATTTTTTATTTCATGATCCTGTTATTGCTATAATGGTAGTAATATTAATGATTATATGATGATGATAATCGCAATAAGAAAAAAAAAATCACATTAATCAACCATAATAAAACTATTTCACACTGCTTTTTGTGTTAGCGTTAGAAGATTTATAATCATGAATAGTCGCGGACTTGGAATCAGCTTGTGGGAATCAATCTGGATTTGGAAAATTGCGAGGGGATAGGGAATACTGATTGGAATTTTATGGCGGGGGGGAGAGTTATTGTGGAGATGTATCAGGTGTATTATTTGTATTGTAGAGAGTTGGTGCCATGGGTCAAGTGCCAAAAAGACGTGGATTTGTGGATGCGGGTTTGAGGCGAAGTAATTGGCACCATCTGAGTAATGACACTCGTTGACTTCTTTTTTTCTGCAAGAGATCTATTTTGGTAGATTGCATTCGTAATGAGAGCTTCACTTGACGCAAAAAGAATATAGATGAAACATAATTACGGAAGCATGCCTGTTTGTTGATTAAAAAATAGAAAAACAATTGGAAATTAGGATTTTGGTCATAATTCGTTGGTGAAATCTGTCCTGAGCAGATAGCAATTACGACTGCTGTAAGTCTTTTTTATTTTATTCAGATTGATTTTGTCTTTGTAAATCAGAGTGGAATGAGGCACTTGATAGTTATTTGTGTTATGTACCATTTGGTGGTATCTACAATGTTCGTAGACAGTGAGTTAAGTACATTTTATGTCCTATGTTTCTGCAGGGTATGTGTTGTATGTTATGTTTCATGTGTTACGTTCTATGTGTTATGGTCTATAGGT